ATTCACACTATAAAACAATGTCATAAAACAGCGTATTTACTGAACAGGTTTTGGTAGAAGGCACTGAAGGCGATGCTTTGGTTCGCCAATATGCAAGCGAAGAAACTCTGTCGAATATAATGGCTTTGTCCGAGAAACGAAGTTGAAGAGACTGAAGAAGTGCAGTAAGTAAACATTGCTTGCTTAAGGCCCTGTCACATTATTGCGTATGAGAGAAACGTATGAGAAGCGTATGAAAATTAATGAAATAATTTTCATACGCACAAAAATCCTTTCAAATGCCAGCGTATGAGTACCGTACATCTGGCGTATACCTCTAGCATATTCAGCGTGTGCCTAGAGTATACTTATCGTATAAAGCATACGTCCGATACGCACAAAATTTTTGAACATGCTTCGCCGTATGCCACCGTATGCGACCGTGCTTGAAACGTATACAACCTATGCCTAACGTACCCCTAGCCGCCTAGCGTATGTCAGCGTATACCGGCGCGTATGAGTGATATTTTTCATACGCTGGCATACGCTAGTACGATACGCAATAGTGGGACAGGGCCTTTACATACTTGTAGATAAGCAGATAAATTCATAATTGTAGTTTTAGAAATACATACATACTGTACATACACATACATACGATGGCCGAGAAGGGCCATGACTGTAAACACTCGCCGTTTTTTACCATTACACTCGTCGTTTTTTTCCCTTCAAAATTACACTCGCCGTTTTTTTCTTCAGCATTACACGCGGCGTTTTTTTCAGTTATGATGCAATAATTACACGCGACGTTTTTTCAATGCAATATTACACGCGACGTTTTTTCAATGCAATAATTACACGCGACGTTTTTCCCAAAAATTACACTCGCCGTTTTTTTAGAGTTACGTTTTAAACTGAGGGTTTCACTTCGGACGAAGATGGGAGCAATCATTTAAGGTTATGTGTGTTTCATCAGAACTAAAACTCATGTAAATACAGTACATATGTGGCCAGACATCAAATTTGCATATCACGCTGAAATATGGCTTCTGCAGTAAACAGTAAATTATTGATTACGCGATGCTGTAAATCCCAAAATCCGAGAATATGGTAGGTCGTTTGTAGCTTGCTTCAGTCGCTGGCTATAAATCAAGTCTGTACGTCGAAGTATTTAGCGTAATTTTGCCACTTGGTTTTAGTTAGTGACCATTCTGCATTTTCAGTTTTTGTACGGAGGTTAGTTTGTACGGAAAATTGTCTATTTATATTTTATATATAAGGATACCGCACTGTCTATAGCCACTAGAAACAAACGAAAATGCAGAATAGAAAGTAACTTACACCAGGCAAACACTACACGATATACCGTGTTCTGCAACCAGCAATCGAGGCAAACTGCAAACGACTACCAATAATCTCTGATTTTGCGATTTGAAGCATCGCGTAATAGAATCAACTGTTTACTATCGAACCCATATTTCAACGGGTTATGTATTAAATCGGATATACAAAGTTAGTAAGGCCATGAAATTTCACTTTCAGTCGGTTATGAATCAATGATTAATGCATTGTTTTCAAAACACACAAAGCTTCTGTTTATATAGTTTGGAAAACACAAAAGAAACCAATGCATTACGGTATATATTCATAATTAACTGACTGAAAAGTGAAATTTTCTACTCATGTATTTACATGATTTTTAGTTTTGATGAAACACACATAACCTTAAATGATTGCTCCCATCTTCGTCCGAAGTGAAACCCTCAGATTAAAACGTAACTCTAAAAAAACGGCGAGTGTAATTTTTGGAAAAAACGTCGCGTGTAATTATTGCATTGAAAAAACGTCGCGTGTAATTATTGCATTGAAAAAACGTCGCGTGTAATATTGCATTGAAAAAACGTCGCGTGTAATTATTGCATCATAACTGAAAAAAACGTCGCGTGTAATTCTGAAGTAAAAAACGGCGAGTGTAATTTTGAAGGGAAAAAAACGACGAGCGTAATGGTAAAAAAAAACGGCGAGTGTTTACAGACGAGCGATGTTGCTCGTACAATTAGGGATTAATAGTACGAGTGATGTTTGGAAATATTGCCAAAATTGGACGAGCCGCTGGGGCGAGTCTAATTTGGCAAATTTCCAAACATCACGGAGTATTTATTATTAGCATGACAAAATTGGATACATTTCCTTTGTTCTTATCGGGAAATATATTCAACATTCACCTCTAATCAATTTCCGTTTAATAATCCCCTCTAATATTCACCTGCAATTAATAATCCCCTCTAATATTCACCTGCAATGTCTTTGCAGCACAAAAAATGAGAAAAAAAAACAACATAACGAAGGCAATATGGCATTAAGAATTATTTCTATTCTGACTCTTTAACGCGACCTCGCAATGTGAAAAATAAGTACGTTATTTTGAGGCACCTCGGGGATATGTGTTTATTCACCTCGGCGCTGCGCGCCTCGGTGAATAAATCACATATCCCCTCGTTGCCTCAAAATAACCTATACATATTCTCTCGCCAAAGCCCAGTCGTGCCAGATATTCAATCAAAATTTGGTGCTTTTGTTCGTATTTTCATCTAGTTCCTCCACTGCAATTTCATTTCATATTTGTGTTTAAAATACCTTTCCGCCATTTTGTTTGTTTTGGGAAAATCATTAATTGTACTGCAGTACAATTAATGAAATAATTGTACTTCTCTCAACCAATCAGCATCCAGTAATTTTGTCATGCTAATAATAAATACACAAACGTGACCTTGTCTAGATTTCATTCCGAGCATACTTTAATTTTGCCTTGCGAGTTTAAATCCTTAAAGAAAATCTTATGAATTAATTTTGCCCATCCACAAAAATGCAAGCACTAGTTACATTAAATTATATTTTAATTTCAAAAAGGCGTATGTTATTTAGCTTAAAAATCACCTTTTGGTTCGATGTTACACTTTGTCCCACTTTATTGTGCAAACTCGTGCAGACGCTTAGTGCCTTTCCTCGCCATCGCTCTTTCCTGACTGTGCTCCTTCGCTCAGGGCTCCGCTCGTGTTCCAAGATCCGCCATGTTGAGTGTAGTGAAATGTATCTCAATACTCATCGTAATCATATCTAACATAGCCAACTAAAGCCTCTGCGGTGGAGAGAGGGGTCATGCTGACTGCACTGTAAATTTCAGGGAGTTAATTTAACTCCAGTGGTATTATTCTGAACCTAATTTTACTCCACATTTGGAGTTAATCGAGGTACAGTATAACTCCACCGGAGTTAAATTAACTTCCCGAAATTAACAGTGTGCCGTTCAGTCATACTACACGGGATGACCAATTAGGCAATTCCGATTGGTTTCGATTGCGCATTCAAATGACGCGATCTGCGTTGGGATAAATTGCAGTTGAACGATTATAATATACAGCTGAGACTGGAAAAATTAGAGCATGCATATCATAACTTATTCAACTGTTGAATCATTATGTGAATATGCATATCAAAGTATTGAATTGTTCAATCATTATTTGTGCTTCACAACTATAGCTGCAATCAGGGGCGGATTAGCCCAGCGGGCCACCGCGCGATCGCCCGATGGGCCCCCAGTTTTGTACAAAAAATGGGCCCTTAGTTTTGTACTAAAATAGATTTTGGTTCAAACGGGGAAGAAGCTTATCCTTGGCCTTGAATTTTTATCACGGGCCAGGAAATAGCATGAATGCCCGCTTGCAGGCAGGAAACCATGGCAATAACGATTACATAATTATATGAATAACGCCAGTCGATCGTATTAAATTTGTATTTCAATAATTTAAATGAACTTTTACTGAAAAATATATTAAAAACATGCCAAGGAAAGACTTTTATTGCGGCGAAGCATAAATTGCAAGCTATATACAGTATGATAATATGAAATCTAATGTTTGGTAAGGATTATCTCTATATAACAGTATAGAAATATAATTTTTCTTTAACTTAATTATAATTCGAGTCACAGAAAGAGAAAATTCGCTGATATTCCGCTTGGTCATGACGTCACCAGGGGGGCCTCTTTTATGTTAAAGCCCGGTAACACCGATGTTGCTTATCCGCCCCTGACTGCAATATATAACTGTCCATTATATAATTTTTGTACTAGCATATTTTGTCTGTATAAGCTGCACGGGCTCCTCATTTTTATGACGTATAAAATCATACGGTCATGCATACTTAAAGCTATAATGTACTGTATATCATACATGTACAGGTGCACTTTTATGTATGATGTATAACATCATGCAGACACATTGATAACCTGACCCTCACCCTACCCCCCAATCTAACGCCTCCTAACCTCCTATCTAACCCCTCACCCTGATTGGCTTATTGCTTCATAACATGCACTTCAATCTTACAAAACTAAAACAACCCCCAGAAGTTGAACAGAGCTGAAACACCAGCAATTACCGGATAGCAAATGCCCGATAGCGGATATCGGATTGCAGGTACCTGATAGCAGTTACCAGACACGGTAGATATCTGATAGCGGATACAGGATAGCAGATACCTGCATGGTAGCGGATATCTGATACCATTTACACAATCTAAAGATTATGGTAAAGTCTGATGAGTACAAATTGGAATAGTTTCAATTAGTTTCATTTCTAAAACTAAAAAATGGTAGCAAATTCCATGTTTTTGCTCCATTGTATCGAAAGCTAGGAACCTTGATACTTTTTCGTTCTTGCTAACGGTAATGGGAGTAAATCTTTATTTCTAGTACTATAGGCATGGGTTTCAGATACTTGATATCTTATATCGGATAACTAACATTTATTAACCGAAACGGAAGTGAATTGTTGAAAGATATCCTTACACTGTTCACCGACACTGACCATATTTATTGAAGCTGAACTATTTTGAATATAAACCGTATGTATTTATTTATTATTTTTGTCACTAGAACTCTATGCAAATAAAGGCATTAAAACTAAAGCAGCTAATATTAAATGTTTTCGGTCAATATCAAACTCGGTGCTGAAAACAATCTAAGAGTAATTATTATTAATCGTTTCCTTTTTAAATGCACTTCTCAACTCGTTGTAATCTTGAAATCCAGTTTGCTTACCAACTACTTCCAGCCACTGTTCTTGAATCATTTTTTTAGTTTTGTCGTCCATTAACTCACGTCCTTTCGTTGCAGATCCTGTGACAACCTTACTTGGAGCAAAATCATCAGCTACACCACAAGCATCATTCCGATAACGTGCGAGGCGTACATCTGAAAACTTCATCTCATTCCCCTTCATAAATTCAAAGGAGCTCATTTCCACAGCCTTCTTAATCCTTTCCGCATCCTGAATTCCTATGAACGCTGCAACTTTCCGAACAACGCTTTCTAAATCATCTTTCATATCCTCATAGAACAGAAATAAAACATTCTTGTCATTCCTGTGTTCCCACCAGCTGAGCAAGTGGGCAAAATAGGATGCATTTTCCATATTGTTTTTTGGTACTTCATGAGCTAGATAAAAATCCTTTACAAATTCATGAAGTGAAAGTTCACCTGGTTGGAACATCCAACCCTTTAAAAAGTTAAATAAACTGTAGACAGCAGCACACGGTTCACGGTATATAGCAATGTATTTAGCACCCTTAGGACAGTAAGGATACCATTGGTGAGTCTTGAAACATCTAACAATGAGAACAAAATGTCTATATAATCAGTAAAATAGAAAATTATTCATAACACTTTCCCCCCTTCTTTATGAGAAAAGCTCCATATTTGGGATCTTAGTAAAATAAATGTATTACTAGAAAAACCAAACACGAACCCAGCGTTATCTCTGTCCTTTAGGCTATTCCATGACAACAGGTGACCATGACAACAGAGTGAGAGAAAATACCTTGGGTCCAAGGTTGCTAGAAATACATGCATATACAGTAGCTACCTCTCGCCTAGCTTTTGACAGACAATCTATAATTTGAGCACCAACACATTGACTCAACATGAAGTATTTCACAATTGCAAACATCGTGGTGCTTCGGCATTAGCCGAAAATTAAGTTGCTTCTAAATACGGTAGAAATATACGCCTGTATTCTAAAAGCTAACTCACACTCAATGAGTGGAGATTCAATCTGAGCTTCTCTTGAGTGTCAATGCTGTTTTTAAATAGCTGGAGTGTGAGCAGTCACATAGTAAGGTATGAAACTACCCGTCCAGCTATTCAAAAACAGTAATGGAACTCGAGAGAACCTGATTAAACCTTCACTCATTGCATTGAGTGTGAGTTTGAGTGAGCTTCTAGAATACGGGCGATAGTCTCTTTAGGACAAGTTTTATTTGTAGAAGACTATACTAACAAAACATACATAAGCAAAATTAAAGCGCAAGCTGAATTCAATATGCCAATAATGGGCCAAACTAGACATATAAATACGGTACTACAGTGCGGTAGGTATAGTATTATAGACCGATTTTATAGGTCGATTTTATGGACCGATTTTATAGACCGATTGCATAGACCGATTTTAATAATCTCAGTGTCAAATTTAATCTCTTAGATTAAATTTTAGATGTTCACTATAGCTAGGTGTGTAAGAATCTGGAACATAGCTATTGCATCTTTTTAAAGACACCTTGTACACTTACTAGGATTCACACAGCTGCTGGTCAACTCCTCTTAATGCTTTGCTGGGTCTGTATAGTTACTAACCATAATGATTATATCTTTAATTTACTAATATTTTTAATGATAGGTTGTTTTTCATCCCTTCCTCTAAATATTCGCTTATTTGAATATTGTAACTGTTTGTAACTACAGTCGAACCTCTATTAAGCGGGCCTCCATTAAGCGGCCACCCTCTATTAAACGGCCACATATCGAAGTCCCGAAATTTTTGTAATACAAATACTATAAACTATCCCTCTATTAAACGGCCACCTCTATTAAGGTTACAGAACACCTTTGAGTGTTAATTTTGCCTAAAAATTTTTTATTGGTTTGCATGAAAGCATTAGACTAGTTCTACTATCTGACAAAGTTTGGACGAAAAATGTTGAAAACTCACAGAGTTATTTAATAAAATACATTTCGCTTGCAATAAGAAAAACATTGAAAATGTAATATTCAAATTCAATTTTCTCCCGAAGAATTTTACGGCAATTACTGATTTTTAAACTAGTTGTGCTCCTGCGGGTTTTAACGAATTTTTCTCAAATTTTCACAGGACATAGCTAAAGATGTCAGTTTCAAAATTTTGTTCGGCTTTGTTCTAATTTTGGATATTTTAATAATAAGGAGCAATTCACACAAACGATTCAGAAATATATTGCAGTCGTCAAAGAAATCGCCATATCAGCGGAATGACGACATAAACAAAAATTTCCGAACACAATTTTTTAGAACAACTATTTTACTGTATAAAAATGATATTTTCATAAATATATCTTAAAACCAGCAGGAACATAACTCAAAAGCGTAAAGGAACCGCGACTTAAGATATTCCTGAATAATTCTTACATTATTTTATTGTTTGTCAATTTTACAACTTTATCATATTTTGCATGCACTGGCTAACATTTGGTGAAAATTTGATGAAAATCGACCTGATTTTGAGCGCGCAGTAGCGATTTTCCGCAAAACGCCAAAAAGGGTGTCCTGTAACCTTAAACGGCCGCGGCCACCCAAAGAGCGGTCCCAAATGATGTTTTGTGTCAATTTTACCTCTATTAAGCGGCCAGCCTGCAGGATTTACTTGGCGCAACACCTTGTCAAGAGGGCCGAAAATAAAAGTCGAGCTAATTTGCCTTATTTGTCAAATAAGGCTTAAAAATTATGTTTTAACACATGCCACTTTACACCTCAAAAGCTTTACACATCAAAAGCATTGACTACGCCCAGGATCTATTATTTGCGTACCTCTATTTAGCGGCCACCTCTATTAAGTGGCCACAAAGCCGATCCCCGAGGAGGTTGAAATCTGAAGTTTAACCAAGCGCGATGCATTATGGTCGCCGGTATTTTTTACCATAATGCACTTCGGTCGGCTTCTTTAATCCTTCACGTGCGTCTGATATTCGATGATGATTGATGAACAAGTGTTTGCCGAGACAAGTTGTAAATTCGAAGCGCTGTGACTGGGTTTCAAAGGCGAGCCTTTATTATAAAGGTTTTTGCTCTACTTTCAACATTTAATGTTAATATTATAACATCACTGTTGCTCTTTATTGTGTCTATATATTATTGAGTGAAATATTCGACATGAGCGCAGACTTCATATCGGATTACGTCCTAAACAATAAACATCGGCACTCAACGAAAGTTTGTGGTGAGCCGAACCATATTAACATAGCTATCAATCAATCAATTCAATCAATCAATTCAATCAATCAATCTGTTTAATTAAAACCAATTTGCAGTTTTTAAAGGAAAATTGAATTACATGGAGTACTAATATAGCATAAAAATTTATATTAAAATGTACATATATATATATTATATAAAATAATGTTTATTTAGTTAGGACTGTTAATTAACTATAAAGCTAATAATATTTCCTAGTCACGAAGTTTTTTAACCGTTCAGTGGTTTCTGACCATAAAGGTTGTTCGGCCGTTCTGTCATTCCTTAAGTCATAATCATGAGTTTTTACCCCGGGACGAATTTCCATAATTTGGGTCAAAGGGTTGTAGGGTGAAACATCGCGTCGCAGAGATTCGACGAATTTCTTGCAAGAGATGTCTCTACGAGTACTCAGATACTGTAAGTTTGAAATTTCAAGGGCTTCATCATATAACAGATCTGGATAAGCTATTCTCAATGCTCTCTTTTGAACAGATTCGAGAATGTCAGATAATGATTTAGGTATTGACGACCATACAGGGGATGCATATTCAATTCTGGATCTGATGAATGAGATATATATTTGGACGATGTCAGATGCTTGAAGACCAGCCTTTTTTAACAGACGCAATGCGTATAAGCGAGAATTTGCCTTTTTCAATACCATGTCGACATGAGTATTCCATGACAAGTCGTTTGATATCCATACACCTAGGAGTTTGAAAGAGGACACAGTTTCCACCGGTTTACCTGCAACATAGATTGGGTTTTCATCATCAGATCCTTTATATTTAAGAAAGTTGATCAACATTTGTTTGCATTTCTTATAATTTAGTTCCATTCCACGTTCTAAGGCGTAGTCCGAGATTTCATTTACGACTAATGGCATTAAACTGGATGAAAAACGTGGTATAATCTCTAGGGCTGAGGTGTCATCCACAAACTTGATCCTACTGGGCCAGTTTTGAGTAAGGAATTAATGAGAACAGCAAACAATAATGGACCCAACTTTGTACCTTGTGGCAAGCCACCATTTGTTTTCTTCCAAGAGGACATAGAAGTTCCCACCCGGACACATTGTTCGCGATCGCAGAGGAAGGCTTTAATCCACAGAATTATAGAGGGATGGGTACCAAGCAGGGTTAACTCTTTAATAATAACATTGTGGTCTACTAGGTCAAAACCTTTCTTGAAATCTGCAAAGAACAATCTGGCAGTACAGGAACCTCTCTCAAGAGCAACCAAGATTGAATGTAAAAGGTAGACCAAAGCGTGGGTCGTTGATTTCTTTGGGAGTGCAAATTGTTTGGTGTCAAGTTTATTTACAACTTCAGGAAAAAAATTGTCCAAAGTACAATCCTCCATAACTTTGACGATCTGAGATGTTAAAGATATTGGTCGTAGGTCGTCTTCAATACTCTTTGGGGGTGATACCTTGGGGACAGGCACTACAATAGATCTCTTCAATGCCTTTGGGAAGGTGCCTTGTGTCATGGATGAGTTGAAAATGTCTGAGATAACTGGGGCAAGCTCAAAGGCAAATGTTTTCAGGATTTTATTTGGAAACATGTCAGGACCCGGTGATTTTGTGGGTTTAATTTTACTAAGTTTCATATAGATCTGTTGGGCGTCAACGAGGTAATGGTTTGGTACTTCTAGGCCCTCCTGGATTTCGTCGAGAGTTAGAGGGTCAAAATGTGATGTAAGGGCAGTAAGAAAGTTATTAAAATTTTCGGCCAGTTCTTCGCAATTCCGAACATCATCAGAAAATAGCTGAGAATACCAAGAATTTTTTGACGAGAGACCACCAATGGCTTTCACTTCTTTCCACCATCTTGCCGGGTTAGAATTTTTTAATTTCTCAACTGACCTCATATAGTAGATCTTTCGTGCAACTTTAATGCATGATTGGACTCTGTTACGCCAATATTTATAAATATCTGAATCTTTCCCGCTTTCGTGTAAGGCTTTTTGGCGTCTCCCAATAGCAGACTTTATTGATGACGTCATCCAAGGCTTATCACACTTTCGTACTTTAATCCGTTCCAAGGGAAAGAATTTTTCAATCATCACCGTCATTGTATCGTTAAACTTTTCATATTTTGTATCACAGTCATGTATGTCCAAGATAGGAGACCAGTCAAATGTAGTGAT